GCTGGGAGTGAGAGGCTGTATTGTTATGTAAATAGTGAGAATGCAAGGCACGACTGCCTTGGCCAGATTCCGCAGCATGTCTGTCATCAGAAGGTTTAAGAATGACATTAAATTGTGACTCACCCTGCACTGTGCCCTGCACTACCTGCACTCAGACCTCTCACTCCGTGCAGGCCTGTGTTGACTCGGGGAGAGGAATGTGAATTATTTGGTGTCACAGAAGGGATGGGTTTTTGCTTTACCAGAACAATGCGGTACTCCCCCAAAATAACCTCCCTCTCCCTCTCAGCAATAGGCTCATATCGTCAGATATTTCAGGCATTTGATGGGTGTTAATATTATTGTTTTTCAGAACACACAAGCTGTGGCCAGAAAAATAGAAAATCTGCCTCTTCAACAGGAGATGGGCCACCAAGGCAAAGGCATACAATAGCAGCTCCATGTTTGTTTATGGGTAATTGAGCACAAGGTTTAAGTGCAATTGAACCAAAACGTAGCACGCAATGACGCTGTGCCTCCCAGCCGCTAGTGTCCTAGCAACCAATTATGCTGTGTGGCCCAGCCGCTAGTGTCCTATCAACCAATTATGCTGTGTGGCCCAGCTGCTAGCATCCTAGCAACCAATAATGTTGTGAGGCCCAGGTGCTAGCGTCCTAGCAACCAATGATGCTGTGAGGCCCAGGCGCTAGTGTCCTAGCAACCAATTATGCTGTGTGGCCCAGCCGCTAGTGTCCTATCAACCAATTATGCTGTGTGGCCCAGCTGCTAGCATCCTAGCAACCAATAATGTTGTGAGGCCCAGGTGCTAGCGTCCTAGCAACCAATGATGCTGTGAGGCCCAGGTGCTAGTGTCCTAGCAACCAATTATGCTGTGTGGCCCAGCCGCTAGTGTCCTATGAACCAATTATGCTGTGTGGCCCAGCTGCTAGCATCCTAGCAACCAATAATGTTGTGAGGCCCAGGTTCTAGTGTCCTAGCAACCAATTATGCTGTGTGGCCCAGCCGCTAGTGTCCTATCAACCAATTATGCTGTGTGGCCCAGCCGCTAGTGTCCTATAAACCAATTATGCTGTGTGGCCCAGCTGCTAGCATCCTAGCAACCAAGGATGCTGTGAGGCCCAGCTGCTAGTGTCCTAGCAACCAATGACATTGTGAGGCTCAGCTGCTAGTGTCCTAGCAACCAATGACACTGTGAGGCCCAGCTGCTAGCGTCCTAGCAACCAATGATGCTGTGAGGCCCAGCTGCTAGCATCCTAGCAACCAATGATGCTGTGAGGCCCAGCTGCTAGTGTCCTAGCAACCAATGACACTGTGAGGCCCAGCTGCTAGCATCCTAGCAACCAGTGATGATGAAAGACCCAGCCACTAGCATCCTAGCAACCAATGACACTGTGAGGCAGAGCTGCTAGCATTCTAGCAAACAATGATGCTGTGAGTCCCAGCCACTACCACCCTAGCAACTGATGATGCTGTCATTGCTTGCTCGCTCATAGGCCCTGGATTCAGATCCCGTGGGCATTCGCCAAACCCAGATTTTTGGTTGGGTTCGGCAAACGTTCCAACCGAAATCAAACCCGGCCCAGCTTGCTCATCACTAATGTATAGTTTCCTTTTTGTATAACTGTGTATGTACAGTACGAGTGGGCTCCATACTTGCTCACTGCATATGCATGCTGTGCTTACTGCTTGGTAGTACAGCACAATCATTAGGCTTTAACGCAAGGTTGAGGAATCTTTATTTTAGTCATGTGACTTTACATTTCAAATCCCATTGGACTGCATATAACCGTCACTTTCTTTGAAAACAAGTATCCTCATCCTGGTGTGTTAGCTTTATGAATTTAGCATATTCGACGAAAATACGTGCGGTCGATTACCGCAATTTGTCCAGGTGATTTCTTCTTATTACCGCTGATCCAACCTTGCGATAATCGGGGCAGGATGGGGCCGCCGTGCCACCCATAAGCAGGAGCTCTCTCGATCTGAGCGGGCGTCTCTAGACGTCCGCTCAGACACGCCCCCTTGCGCGCGCCACCA